AGGAGGAGCCATAGCTGTCACTTGGGAGAACCAAGCAGTACACTGTGTTAGATGAGAATTATTTTTTTATAAAATCAGTTTACTAAGTAAATGTGTATATAAAAGTTGTAGTTTGTTTCTTTAAAATCTGTATAAATATACATGAATCTCTTGAAAGAATTAGCACTGTGTCATTTGAGGCCCATGGCTGGGAGAGTCAAGTCACTTGCACCTAGAATGTAGGCTTCTGGTGGCTCTAGCTACCATTTGCTTTAGGGGGAAGCACATTAAAGGTAATCTTCCTCTACCAGCTTTTAAGAAACTGTTTAAAGCAGTAGTTCAGACTCTCCTAACACTGACAAAATTCTTTCATTTGTATTATGAAGTTAACCTGTGTTGCTATGTACTTTATCACTGTGGCAAAAATAACCTAGCCTATTTAGAGGGTCTCACTCCTTGAAAAGGAATCATCCTGTAGTCATGTGATGGGGATGTAGCTCAGTGGTGGAGTGGTTGCCTAGCATGTGCAAGGCACATTCAATCTAGAAGAATCCAGTAAGTAAGGAGGAGCAATATGACAGAAAAGAAAAAATTAGTATTCTAATTCTGCCAAAGATAAAAAAACAACTAGGAGTTGTTATGTACAATTGTCCTAGGATAAAGATGTTATATACAGGGTATCTGTTGATTACATATAAACCCTATAAATTAGATCATATCTTTTCATTCCCAGATAAAGTAAAACTTTATACATGATAAGCCCAAGTGTAATTGACTTTGAAAGTGAAATCGTTTTAGAAAAAGTTTGTTCTGTTTTTACAGATGTTAATCTCTGCAAAATGCTAACATCCAAGAGGGCTAAAGCTGCCTTCTCAGATTTGAAATGCCATCTTTGCCATACTCTTTATATTTGTGAAATAGACTATGTCCAACATAAAGGTTCAGTTAGGAAACACCATATTGTGACAGTGTAAGAACGTAACTAGGGGCTGGGAAGGTGGCTCAGTGGTAGAGTGCTTGCCTTGCATACATGAGACCCTGGGTTCAATTCCTCAGCATCACATAAACGGGGGAAAAAAGCCATAACTGGTGCTGTGGCTCAAGTGGTAGAGTGCTAGCCTTGAGCTGAAGAGCTGAGGGACAGCACCCAGGCCCAGAGTTCAGGCCCCACAACCGACCAAAAAACAAAAATGTAACTTTGAGTCATCTAGGAATTACCATTTACTCAATGCTATGGAAGGCTCTGACTGCCACTGGGAGGTAGACATGTTAATAATATAATCTTTAGTTTCTCTTTCTTGTTACTAGTATTAGACAGTCTAGTAAGTAACATGTAATTTGAAACTATGACACAGATAATATAGTATACAACTTGGGAATACTTTTTGTATTTTTTTTTTTTTTTGGTCGGTCGTGGGGCCTGAGCTCTGGGCCTGGACACTGTCGCTCTTCAGCTCAAGGGTAGCACTCCACCACTTGAGCTACAGTGCCACTTCCAGCTTTTTTCTGCTTATGTGGTGCTGAGGAATCGAACACAGGGCCTCAATCATGCAATGCAAGCACTCTACCACTGAGCCACCTTCCAAGCCCAGGCACACTTTTAAAACTTTTTAGATTTTTAATCTGTAGTTGCTCAAATCTTTCAAATCTTCACCTGTATCTGCATTGAGAAGAGAAATTTCTGACTCCAGTTAATCTGGATGATTTGGTGAATAAACTTCAAATCTGAGGTGGGGCGGGGAATGGCTTAACTAGTTTTTGGCACTGTAGGATCAGTAATATTTCCTGCACTTGTCTAATTTGTTGCTTCATTTCTTCTTTCACTTACTTGGATTGATGCCTCAGGTTAGAAGATACTATACAAACCAAATAGGTAACAAGAGCTGTTTTGCTCATATCTCACTGTTGGTGCTCTATCACTCAAGCTTCCAGTTCTGGCTTTTTGCTGGTTAATTGGTGACCAGAGTCTTATGGATTTGTCTCCCTGGGATGGCTTTAAACTGCAGTCCTCAGATTTTAGCCTCCTTGAGTAGCTAGAATTACCAGCAAGAGCCTGGCAGTTTTCTGTTTTTAATGTAAAATACATCAGGCCACTATCTTAGCAAGATTACAGAGTAAATGAAAACTTCCCGGATGCTTGATTTGGGGGCTTCATTACATGTTTACTTTTCTCTAATGATTAATTTTCCTTTCCATGTTCTCATTTGGATAGCTATATTCTCTATTATTATTTGAAATAGAACATGTTATTTTACTCAGATGTTATGTTTTCCTGTCCTGTTTCTTTTATCCTCTATTCTGTACCTCATAAGTTAAAAACTTAGAGTAATTTTACTTTCTTATTTTCTCAGTACCATTCAAGGATTTTAGAATTCTGATTATTCCCATCCTATCCCATCCCTGATATTTAGTTGAGAGCTGTTTTTTTTTTCTTTTTCTTTTTTGGTACAGGGCTTGAACTCTGGCCTCTTGCTCTCCCTTGGCATTTTTTTTTACTCTAGCACTTGAGCCATGCCTCTACTTTGAGCTTTTGCTGATTAATTGGAGATAAGAGTCTCACTGGCTTTTCAACCAGGGCTATATTCAAACCTCAATCCTCAGATCTTAGCCTCTTGAGTAGCTATAGGCAAGATCCACTGGCTTCTGGCTTAGTTTAGGTTTCTTGATTTTCTTGAGTATTTTGTCCAAATAATTCCTAAGAATACTTTAATTTCTTATGATTCAGTCTTTGTTTTCCATTGTTAAATGTGTTAGTCAACTTTTCATTGCTATAACAACTACCTGAGACAAATAACTTAAAAGGATGAAAGTTTATTTTGGCTTACAATTTCAGAGGCCTCATCATGGTCAGTTTTGGTCCATTGATATTGATTCTGTTGCAAGGTATCATGGCAGTGAAAGGAAGGGGCAGTGACAGAGGAGGCTATTCCTCAAGCCTATCAGGAAGCAAAGAGAAAACCTGGAAGAGGCTGAGTGGAATCACAAGATCTCTTCAAGGGGATCTAACTTTCTTTCATTAGAAAGGTTATACCATCTCTCCATAGTGGCACAGCTAGAGACCAGCCTTATTATAAGGTCATTGGGGAATATACTTAAATCCAGACTATAGCAGTTGGTAACTTGTTCATTCTACCAAAATACATGCAAGAGTTTTTGTTTTTTTAAATTGGTCCTGGGCTTGAACTCATGACCTGGGCGCTGTCCATGAGCTCAAGGCTAGTACCTTCCAACTTGAGCCACAGCTTCACTTCCCATGTAAGAGGGTTTTTTTATCCTTAGTTACATATCTAGGACTTTTACTCTTTAGCTTGGAGATAAAATAATATTTGATACTAATAAAATATCAATATTTTATTAATTAAAATTAACATTTGAGTATCCATTAATAAAAATTAATTAGCCATATTAATCATAAATGTTTTGATAACTTAATAAAATTAATGTAATTCTTTTTACCAATGTATGCATCTCCTTTCTCTCTATGCTTTGCTCTGGGGAAGTTAATGGCTTATGATCCATTGCATTTCTGGAGAAGTCTGTCTTTCTAGAGAGACTTAAGTTTGTTGGGTTACCCTGAGGCTTCAGTGATCTGATATGTTTGATATGTTTCATATCTGATATAAAAAATTAGATTTTTCAGATTATCTGCATTTTCCTTACTGGGATGGGAGTTACAGGTTTCTGCCTTATAAGCAGAAGCACAAATGCACCATAGCCATTTTAATGACCCTTTTTGATAATACTACAATCTGAATTCAAATGAGTCTGGATAGCAGATAATACAGATGAAAAATTTTCAGAGAATGACTTTTCTTCTAAAGAGGGTTAATAATTTGGCACTTTTGATCCTGTCAAGAATTTGTTTTTAGGTCTCCTTAGTGTTTGTCTATTGCTTTTCTTCCCTAACTCTGAAGATGTGGCTTTTCTGGAATCTTAGTTCAAGTTTGTTATTTTTGTTTGTTTCTTGTTTTTGGTGCAGCTCCATCTTATCACTGCTTGCTATCCAACCTGTCCTCACTACTACTGGGCTGATGAAGTGTCTAGTTGTTTTTTATTTTTTCGTCTGAATGACTTTCTTGACATGTTTACTGTGTAGTTAACAAACTTTGAAGCCAGTTGTTGATTTAAGGTATATTCTTTTTATTACCCACTTTGGAAACCCAACCTCTACATTTTCAGTCCAACTAAGATTGTAGTATTGGGCTGGGAAGTTGGGTCAGTGGTAGAGTGCTTGCTTCGCATGCATGAGGCCCTGGGTTCAATTCCTCAGCACCACATAAGCAGAAAAAAGCCAGAAGTAGCTCTGTGGTTCAAGTGGTAGGGCACTAGCCTTGAGCTGAAGAGCTGAGAGACAGTGCCGAGGCCCAAAATTCAGCCCCCACGAATGACAAAAAAAAAAAATAGTATTATACTTGGGCTGTATTTCTATCATTGATTTGGAATTTTTTGCATGCCAGAACAAAAGATTAAATGCAAAATTCATTTCATTGGTTGTTTTTCTTCTTAAAGATTTTACTCTTATGGGGTGGGGTGTATCAGTGGCTAAGTACTTGCCTAGCAAATGCAATATCCTTAGTAACAAAAAAGATAGGACAAAAAAAAGTTTTAAAAAGCCAGGTACCAGTGGTTCATGCCTCTAAACCTAGGTACTCAGGTGGCTGAGATCTGAGGATCATGATTCAAAGCCAGTGGGGCAGGAAAGTCTGTGAGACTCCAATAAACTACCAGAAAACTGGAAGTGGTACTGTGGCTCAAACTGGTAGAGCATCAGCCTTGAGCGTAAGAGCTCAGGGACAGTGCCCAGACCTAAGTTTGAGTTCCATGACTGGAAAAAAAAATGTGCTCTTGGAAGTGCCACATGTTTTAGTTGCTTTTCAGTGTCTTTAGACAAATAATTTGATATATTTTACCAGCATTCACAGTTGTTCTTATTGAGAGTAGTACTTTGATGCATTTATTTATCAGAACAATTTCATGGACATGGACATACTCATACGAATCTCTCATGTTTTGATCTCTAGGAAGATGAAGTCTTCAATACATTCTGAAGAGGATGATTTTGTTCCAGAACTACATAGAAATGTTCACCCTCGAGAGCGGCCTGATTGGGAAGAAACACTTAGTGCAATGGTAAATCTGTTATGTTTGTATGTATGTACGTATGTACGTTGTACTTATATAATAACAAGGAACTGAAGAAGCATTATTCACCAAAAATGTACAGTTTTTTTGCTTTGTTAATTGATTCAGGAAGTATTTATTGAACAAATACTTCAATTTAGGCATTTTTGTAGACTGTGGGCAGAGTTACTGGGTTTGAACGGCTAGATAATGTGACAAAATGGTTGCTGGTTATGTAGGATTATGAAAATCTCCCTTATTTTAGGAAGATTTTATGTTTAAGATTTTTTTAACTAAATGATTTTCCTTGTTTGATGAGATTTGAGCAGGCACTTGGATGTGAAGGAGCAGGCCATGTATTTATCTGAGCCTACATCATTTTAGGCAATGGAGTTAAAGGCTGTGGTTTAGAGTTAAAAGGCAAGCTGGAACAAACACAAGTAGGGGAAATTAGCTGGAACTGAAATTTCTTGTGGCTGAATTACCTGGAGCAAGAGAAATAACAGGAAGAGACAAGATCAATGAAGTAGTTTTAAGTGGATGGAGAGCAGACTATACAATTTCTTATAGTCCATTGACAAGATCTTTGTTTTTTAATGCTGAGTGAAATGGAAACCATTAGAGGATTTTTGACAAGGAGATAACATGATCAGGGTTGGAATTTTAAAGGAAGTCTTAGATTGTTGTGAATAGGGGATGGGCAGAGGAATAAGGGTGTTATAGTTGGTAAAATAGAGGTGGTAGCTTGAATGAGAATAGAAATAGTTATAGTTACAACTGGCTATATTCTCAATATACTTTTTGTAGATAATGCCAATAGTTATTGTTTATGAAGGATGACTTCAAGATTTTTGACCTTCTTAACCTGAAGAATGGAATATATACTTACTGAGTTGCTGGTAAAACAGTGTATGTTGAGGAATAGATGGAAAAAACAAGCATAATTTTTTACAAAATCTGTTTGATTTGCTCATGTACTTTATCAGAACCTTTTAAATTTAGGTCTATTAATAATTTATAATTTAGGTCTATTAATAGGGACAATGAAATTATTTGTGGGAATAACATTATTTAGTTGTGGTTCTGTCAGCAAAACAGTGTAACTGTTTATCTGTTAGTGCTGATTTATGTAATTTTACATATTTCATTTTTGAAAATGTCTTTCATTATTTAAATGCTATTTAAGCATCCACAACATGGACATAAGTTTCTAAGTACATGATCCTAATTGGGCATTTTTCAGCACTAGTGGAATTCTATAAGATTCTCCTGTTTATATTTGCCTTTTACCATCTCATTGTATTTCAGATTAATCATTTACAATTGAAGATTAGGTGTAGTTGTTTTCAGTTGCACAGTTAAATGGGATTTGCAATATGAAATTTACTTTGCACTTACATTATGCTTTGACAATCCCTTCTGAGCCTTCATTTTGAGCTTGAAAAAATATTTTACAACAAATTTGCATGAGCATGAAAATCACCCTTATTTTAGGGTGATTTTATTTTTCCCTTATGTATTTAAGTAAATAACTTACCTTGCTTTTTTTGCTTGACTAACAAATGAGATACTAACAGATTTTCTTAGATTATAATTTTGTTGTTATTTTGTGTTTTAGTGAAAAAGTCTTGTTGGTAACATGCTGTTTTATTATTTTTGAGTTTTTCAGAGTGTTATCTTTCTGTAAGTTGAGAATATTGTGGTGAATGCATAATTTAGTTGAAAAAGTATAGGCAGTAGCTTGTAACTGGGAATTTTAAATTCAGAATTTAAATTTAAATTGAAAGAGTTTATCATAATATTTCTTACATAATCTGTATTTTACCTTGTGATTTTAGGTTAAAATCATCAGAACTATATCAAGACTACAGCAAAATATGGTTACCAAAGCGATTTAATGTTCAGGAATAGAAGTTAAAAATATGTCCAACTAAGTCTTTTTCCACTTCATATGCATTGTACCAACATCACTTGTAGTGTATCATAGTATATTCCACTTGAGTTGTACTGAATCAGTGTTTTTTCGCTATTCATGAGTATTCTATCCTCCAGATATCCTGCAGATATTGTTCATAAGGGCTAATTCTTCAGTTACTTCCACAGTACTTGAAGATCCAGTTATATTTGTTCACTCATGAAGAGATAAGGAAAAATACTTGAAATCATTTATCTTATTTTCAAATTGACTACTGATAATCTCTCCTAATGGTCTCAACCCTTCAACTATTCTCATCAAAATGACCAATGAACTTAAGCCAGTTTTCTTTTTTTGGACACATTTCTTTGGCTATTGCAATTAGACATAATTTAGTTGACTCGTAGTTGTAAATGGCTTTCCTTGCTTGGCAAACTAATGAGATACTTAAAAATATACTGAAGTTATAAGATTGTCAGTATATTATATTTTCTTGAATACATTCTGGATTGTGATATATATTATGTTTTATAGTTTAAATTTCTTTGGAGTGTTGCTTTCCTGTGAGTTTAGAACATTTCGGTCAGTGCATAGTTTAGTAATATTGGTGTACATTTTGTTCTTTTAGAATGACCATAGTGTCACTGTGTGGTAAACACAATGTTTGCTGTGAACATTGTGTTGTTCCTTAAAAGGGTGATATTTAAAATTCCCTTATCTCTTCTTTTTTTAAAAAAATATTGTAAAGGTGTTGACAGAGGGGTTACAGTTATTATTTCTTCTTATTTTACATGATGTGTGTGCACTGGAATTGAAAAATGTGAATCGTTGAAGGTACAAGTGGCTCAAACCTGTAATCCTAGCTACTCAGGGGGCCTGAGATCTGAGGATTGAGGTTTGAAGCCAGTCTGGGAAGGAAAGTTTATGAGGCTATTATCTCCAATTAACCAACCAAAAACAAAAATCGAGCTTTTTTGCCTTGAGCAAAAAGCATTTCTTTGGCAGAAATTATTGTATTATCATCAATTTTCTATAAATCCATTTCAGTCTCTGTTGAGTCAAAAAAATTAAAAGGCCAATCAAGTCCCCAAACCTTACTGATTAATATAATCTCTAGAGGAATCAGCATTCTTTTGGAAGGCTATTTTGGAATCTTTTTGCCTATTTTTTGAGTCTTTTATAATTTTTCCTACTATTTTTATAACCTTCAATAAATCTATGTTGAGTTTAAGATATGGAAAGGAAGGTAACATTAGTTTTTATGTAGTGGTCATTCTTAAAATGTGCAAACAGTTCATAAATGCTACTATAACAAACAAAAAGTTTCTGTGCAGCAAATGACAATAGTTACTAAACTTTTAAAAGACAGCCAACAGTCTGGAAGAAAATCTTTACCAGTTATACATCTGACGAGGGCTAATATTCATATTATACAAGGAGCCCAAGAAACTAAATCCTCTCAAAATTAATAACCCAGTGAATAAATGGGCAAAGGAACAGAGGCTTCTCAGAAGAAAAAGAGAGAATCACCAATTAACACATGAAGAAATACTCAATATCCCTGTTTCTAAATGAAATGCAAATCAAAACAACACTGAGATTCCATCTCACCCCAGTAAGATTGACCAGCATCTAGACTTTGAACAATAACAAATGCTGGAGGGCTGTGGGGAGCAAGGAACTTATGGTGGGAATGTAAACTAGTACAACCACTCTGGAAAGCAGTTTGGAGATTCCTCAAAAAACTAACCATTAGAACTACTCTATGATTCATCAATATGACTCATAGACATCTCCTAGAGCATTACAAGTAAGAATACAATAAAGACACTTACACATCTATGTTCCTTGCTGCACTATTCACAATAGCCAAGTTATGGAAATAGTCCAGATGCCTTATAATGTGTTCAAAAAATGTGATACCTATATACAATAGAATTTTACTCATCCATTAGAAATAATAATATGTCATTTTCAGGGAAATGGGTGAAATGTTAGGTGAAGTAAACTGGGCTCAGACAGACAGATGGTGGGTGTTTCCTCTCATTTGTGGAAGCTAGATCTAAAATACAACTATGCATATACAAATATGTATAATATATACAGGGATCCGTGCATTTACATACAAGCAAACAGACCAAAGGATGGTATATTTAGGGGAGGAATCCAAGGATTTAACTCCTCCGAAAAATGAATGAATTGTTTATCAAAATGCATACCAGGAAATGTAAACATGTTTCAGGGAAGGTGGGTATGTAAAAAGGAGACAGAGGAATGGAGGGAGAAAGGGTGAGCAACTGCAGTCATTATATTCAGTTACATCATGTAAAACATGAAGCATGTAACTTGAGAGTTGAAAAATGAAGAATGAAGGAAGGGATGACATTGACCGCGAAGCATTAAATTCATAATAGCTTAACTTATGGAATTGTAATCCCTTTGTACAGCTATTAATAATAATATTAAAATGTCATAACAGTATATATATACAGTGTACTTGGCAAATTACTGAATTTTTCTCTTCTGAAATTCACATTGATTTGTCTAAACCTGTATAGGAATTACTCTATCTATCTATCTATCTATCTATCTATCTATCTATCTATCTATCTATCTATCTATCTATCTATCTATCTATCCATCCATCCATCCATCCATCCATCCATCCATCCATCCATCCATCCAGATTCAACAGCTTGTAATAGTCTTTTTTTTTTTTTGGGGGTCCGGTCATGGAGTCTGAACTCTGGGCCTGGGCACTGTCCCTCAGCTCTTCAGCTCAAGGCTAGCACTCTACCACTTGAGCCACAGCGCCACTTCCGGCTTTTTTCTTTTTGCTTATGTGGTGCTGAGGAATCGTACCCAGGGCCTTGAGCATGCAAGGCAAGCGCTCTACCACTGAGCCACCTTCCCAGCCCTGTAATAGTCTTTTATATTTACTGGTCTGGGGCTTGAACTCAGGGTCTGGGCCCTGTCCCTGGGCCTCATAGTGCTCAAGGCTAGTGTTGTACCATTTGAGCAACAGCGATACTTCTGGCTTTTTCTGAGTAGTGTATAGGAGATAAGAGTCTCACAGACTTTCCTGCCTGGACTT